GCTTTTTTTTTTTTAAATCAGAGACGGGGCCTTGTTGTGTTGCACAGGCTGGTCTTGAACCCCTGACTTCAAGCAATCCTTCTGACTCAGTCACCCAAAGTGATGGGATTACAGACATGGCCACCACATTCAGTCAGAAAAACTATTTTAAATTAGGAGTAAACTACCCTAAATCATCAAATCTGTCGAGAGAATGCATAAAAGTATACATTCCGTACTATAAGCTACCAAAAAAAAATTCATAAGAGTCCCCACACCCAGCACAACATTTAAAATGAAATTCTATATCCTCATACAAATATTTTCAGCTACAAAGTTCAAAAAATCATGTTAGGAATTCAAAAATTAAAAGGATGATAAACAAGAAAGGGAAAAAGATGAAATAGGAGTTATTGAATCCAAGAAAGAAATAGGTAAAAAAGACAAAGACAAAAGTATACTCCAAAAATAGATAGCAAGGTACTCAAAAAATAGTAAATTTGAATAAAAATTAGTTAGAATCATTGAAATTAGGCACAGAACCAGCATGACAATGAAAAAAATCACCAAATTAAAAATATATATAATGGGTCAGATAGAAAATTCTTGAAAGACAAAGAAAATTGAACATATGTATGTAATTGGAGTCTCTAAAGAGTAAAACAAACAAAAAATTGAACTTATACCTAAAATTATAACTCAAGATAATTTTCAAAGAATGAAAGAAAACCTATGTATTGAAAGGGATGATAGAGCACATAGAAAAGTGATCCAGAGAAATAAAATCTGAGGCATATTCTAATGAAACTACCAGACTTTAAAGATAAATTAAAGACATTTTCTGGTTTTCAAACAAAAGATCAAATAATTTGCTAGAGCAAGAAAATTAGGCTAATATCAAAAATTTTGACAGTAACATCAAAGTAATACAAAAATGAAACAGCTTTTTTAAGAAACAGGAAAAGTAAGTCTGAACCAATTACTGCTGATCCTCATTATTAGCAGATTCTATATTTGCAAATTTAGCTAATCGTTGAAATTTATTTGTAACTGCAAAATTAATGCTCTTGGTGCTGTTGCAGTCATTTGTGGGCATACACATGAAAAAAGCATTAAAAATTTGAATCATCTGATGTGCACATTCCCAGCTGACATTATACAAGGCAACGCTTTGCCTTCTGCCTTCAGGTCACAGACTGTCATGTTTTTGCATTTTTTGTACTTTTTGTTGGTGATTTTGTTGTTTAAAATGGCCCTCAAGTGTAGTGATTAAGTGCTGCCTAGTGTTCTAAGTGCAAGAAGGTGGTGATGTGCCTTGCACAGAAAATATGTTTTAAATAAGCTTTGTTCAAACATGAATTACAGTATAATTTACCATGAGCTCAATGTTAATGAATTAGCAATATATTTTGAATAGGTCTCTTTAAACATAAATACTCATAAAGCAAGGTTATGTATTGATCAGTTATGAAGATGCTCTGATCAGAGGCTCATAGGAACCTCACTCTGTGCTCCCCTACAAGCAATAATTCAATATTTCCTAATTCAGCATTTATGGTTACTTTAAAAGACAAAAATGTAATGAGTAAGGATAATCAATTGTATTTTTTATCTTGTCAATATGTTGAGTATTAAGACTACAGAAAAACAATTATAAACATATAAACACCCAGGAAGCAAAGTACAAATTTAATTATTCTTTAGGACTCCACTAGATGTGAGCTTAAAAGCTTTGTCCAAATAAGAAATAACTAGGAAAGATCAGCAAATTATTGATTGTGAACATTTAGTGTAAGTATGGATCTAAGATTAGAGCAAAAGTGAGATGAGGTTGGAGGAATCATATGTAAATATCTGTTATGACAAAGTAGAAATAATGAAACTTTAAAAATGGGTAGGAAAAGAAAAAGAGAAAGAAATGAATGGTATTTGATTTTTATTCAGGAAATACATAGGAAATACACTAAAAGGAACACATAAAAACATAAAGACAAAGCATAAAAACAAAAATATAAACCTTTTAGGTCATCAAAAGAAAGGTAAAAATAAAATACAAAAAAATATATTACATAGAGAAGAAATAGCAAATATAACCTAATTATAACAAAATAATGTTGCAGGGTTGAAACAAATCATATCAGTTATATCAACAATCATGAATGAGGTTAACTGATCTATTAAAAAGATTCCCAAACAAGTCACAATTCTGTATCCTATTCAGGATATGCCTAAAATAAAATGCTTCAGAAAGACTAAATAAAGATGGATAAAAATGTACTAGGAAAAATACGCCATAATAAATAAGATACAGTTCTAATATTGTAGTAGAACTCAAACCAAAAATATTAAAGATTATATTAAGGGTATTTATAATGCTAAAAGAATCATTCACAATGAAGCTATAACAGCTGTGAATGTGTATCAAATGACACATCAACTTCCTATAAAAAAGATAAACTACAGAAGCTGCAATAATGAATGGGTAGAAGCATACTACTAATAAAATGATTGCATACAATACTTTTAGTGGAAGGACAGATTTTAAATATACGTGCAGAATCCTAAATGATTTCAAAAAATTTGAAGTCATACAAGATTACATCAGTATATCAATTGATTACATTTTCTGCTTGATATGTCAAAGTAAATTAATTATTTATGACTAATGTATGTGTGTGTGTGTGTGTGTGTGTGTGTGTGTGTGTGTGTGTATGTGTGTGTGGTGTCTGGCCCTTAGAATAGAAAATGTCTATCAATTATCAAAATAAGGTTAATGATCTAAATGTTGACTCTTGTCCCAAATAATTAAATCCAATTTGGTGAGAAACTTACTGATTAATTTTAGTTCTCAGATAGCAGAATAATCTCTTATGGGAAAGGCTGAGGTAAACACATCAATTGGCTTAAAAAAAAAAAAATAGAAAGAAAAGAGAGTGGCCAGTTTAGGATTACATAGCACTTTAAGATACCGACACTCACATATTTAATAGCTCCTCAGACTTCTTCATCTGTACAACATTGACTCATGCAGTGCACTGATCCAAAATGACATTTCAAAGTCTTTTGCTCCATCAGTACCCTTCTCTCTATCATGTCTTGATGCTCATAAGAAATGCTGTCAGATATTCTGAGAACTATCTATCACCAGGCAGTCAGATGAATGCAGAATCAGATTATTTAAATTGTGTACATGAGAACAAAAGATCATTCATTTTGGGAATGGGAGGGAGTAAAAGGGTAATCCTGTTCTGATAACATCTATAACAACAAATGCTGCATTTTCTATTGGATAAAATTATATACTAGACATTTATGAAACCTCTCTTCTAGCTGAAAGAATTAGCAGCTATTCTGAATGACAATTTTAAGGCAACAGTACCATAGTATAGACTTCTATAACATAAAATGTGGGCAAGAGATCTTTTTATTCATCTTTAGTGGATTTGTCATGAACATTTCCCAAATAGACTTCAGACTATATGAAAAGGTTATGTAGAAATAAACTGGAATTTATATTAACATCAGTATTATTGCTTTCTGTGCATAATCACACTCATCACCTTTATTTCAGCAATGAAAGAGATCACTAAATCCCTCTTTACGCTTAATAAATTATATATATTTGTGTTTGATAACCTCCTTTTCTTCCTTTTTTTTAAAATAATTTTTTATTTTCTCTCACTCCAGCTTTGGCCAGTTTTTTTTTTCTTATGTTTTTTCTTCTTTCTTTTTGCAATTGACTTTTTCTAATCTGGCCCCATCTCTAAATTTATCTTTTCTTTATTCCACTTATTGTTCTCTGAGCATGTACAATTGTATTTGTTCTTCTATGCCTTGGCTTATCACTTATCTTTGCCTGTGTGCCTTTACCCAGTACTATTTTTGAGATGATAAATTTTGACGATTTCTCAAATTTTATTTTCTTCCTAAGGTTAACACTAGCAACTGCAGCTGATAGCTATCTCTCTTCCTTTTGACCTTTTAACATACATATATCCTGCTTTTGTGGAGATACTTAGTTTTGTTTCTAATTGTTTTATATCTGTGCATTTCTTGCCTCAGTCTCTCAATAGAGAGGTTGGGCAACTTTCTATGCATTCTTAGAAGTTGGATTAACTATGTGTTTAGTAGATATTTGTTAATGGTATGATGCCATAAAGCAGTAAATAAAATATATCTATGATAATGAATCTTGAGACATAATTTTGATAGAATTCAAGACATCTCTAACTTGAAGAAAAAGACTTATTAAGTAGTATTAAAAGAAAAATATGACAAAAAACCACTTTCTAAGGTTTTTATAATACTTGAGAACTTTAGTATTTCTAGAAAAAAAAAATTAACCAGACAACTTCCACAAAATTAAAACACTTTTTATTTCTTTGTATTTCTCCTGCTGAATACATTCCTCCTTTGGGCATTTAGCCCTCCCAACAGCAAAGTTTAATGTTGGAGGACTGGGAACTAAGTATATTGCCAGTTGCTCATTAGTTGTAATAGTAATAGGGTCACTCTCACTACAGCATATATGTAGGACGATATCTCCATATTCCAATATGTCTTCCAGGGGCATTGAAATTAAATTTTTTTTTTTTGATAAGCAGGATTAATTGAGAGGACAGAAAAGCTCCCACAGTGGGAGGAGACCCAAGGGGGTTGTCCAAAATTAAATCTTCAATATGCTACTCAGTCTTTCAATTAGACCAGTCATTTTTAGGTGTTGGGAAATATGGCAAAGCCAGTGAATCTGTCTGATGATCAACTTACACCTTCACAATTTTTTCCTTGTAAAACAAATGATATAGTTGATAGAATATAAATAAGCTTTAAGTCCATTAATGATCATGCTAGCAAGAATGTCAGAATAGAAGGCAATATACATTTAGTGTAGGTATGTTCCACTGAAAAAGAATTGCCATTCCTTCCATGATTGAATATTCCACAGTGGTGTTATTTATTAAAATAAAGTAAGTAGACTAAGGTGCGCTCATGCCCGCCCGCCGTTCTCCTCACTGCCTGGTCCCCCCGCTCGCCCTGTGTCCGCGCCGCGCCCCACCGCCAGGGCTTCAATTGACCTCACCAAAATGCCGTCTCAAATGGAACAGGCCATGGAAACCATGATGTTTACATTCCACAAATTTGCTGGGGATAAAGGCTACTTAACAAAGGAAGACCCGAGAGTACTCATGGAAAAGGAGTTCCCTGGGTTTTTGGAAAATCAGAAAGACTCTCTGACTGTGGACAAAATAATGAAGGACCTGGACCAACGCCGAGAGGGCAAAGTGGGCTTCCAGAGCTTCTTTTTGCTCATCGTTGGCCTCACCCCTGCGTGCAACAACTATTTTGTAGTACACATGAAACAGAAGGGAAAGAAATAGACAGAACCAAGCAATGTCTCTCACCCTGCTAAGAGTTATCCCAAAGGGTCGCTGAAGGAATCTGCCCAAAGCTTCCCCCGGTATAAGGATTCTGTGAGCCGATCAGGACCCTTAGAAAATGTACAAACAAAATCCAACTCCCATGTGACAAGCAGAGAAGAAAAGTTAATTGAAGGCCAGAAAAGCTTTTGATTTTTGTATTGTTTGCATCCTCTTGTCCTCAATAAATAAAGTCCTTCTTTAGTTCTGAAAAATAAATAAAGTATTTCTGACATCATGCACATCTTCCATATTAACCATCTGAGGTTTTTGTTCATGAGCCCTAAATAAGCAATAGAATGACTTCTGAAGGAGGCTAAATGAAATCTACAGATTGGGGTATCTTATTCATTGGATTATTGAGCAGCTCCTCTTTAGAAGTGACTTTTAGTGAGCCTTTAGAAAGTACCTAAATATCTTCAAACATTGAACACTTAATTCTAAGAGTGCCATCTAAAAAACAGTACTGCTGTCTTGTTCCTTCCATATCTACACATCTGGCCAAACTATTAGCAGATCAGGATCCCTGAAGATGAAATCATTCTTGGTACAGCATGGATCCTGAAAACTATCACAATTTTTAAGTCATTGAAGCCCTACTTAACATACATACCTGCATACAACAACATATAATACAATTGATAAGTTTCGTAAATTATAACTGGGATATTATGGAATAATATAGATCAACAAATAACTTTAAGTTTACAAGTAAAAATAATTTTATCTACCTGTAGACCATACATATGTACTATTAAAATTTTCCAGTTGAATAGGAGGCTTGGAAAGAATAATTGTATAGATAATTTGTTGTGGTGTTGTCTGGTTTCTACGATTCTTAGTTTGTGATTCTTCTTAGGATTGTGTTATGAGGCAGATCAGCCAAGCTCTTGCTGCTCAGGCCACTTCGCTGTGTTCATGACGGTTGGCCTGACAGAGGGCTACATCTAGAGAAGCAGCAGTGACTATCTGACTATTCTTCCTACTGACCAGTATGTTACTCTAGTGAAGGATGCTTTATTTCCTACTGACGGTCACAAAAGGGCAGAAGCTGCTTATTTCTGCCTTACGTCGGGATTTCTTTTTCCTGCTGACTTATTTGGATATTAGATTTTGTCATATTTAGTATGGTATTTTGTGACCATGACTGTTATTTTCCCACTCTATAGAGTTTAGAAATATTACTATTATGTAAAAACGAATAAATATACATGAATACTGGATACCATCCATTTACATAATAAATACATGTTTAAAGCTCTATATTAGAAGTTATGGCAAAATAAGTAATCTATTAAGAATGGTGTAGAAAAGTATAAATAAATAATTGCACAATATAAAACAAGTGTTCTCCAGAAGAGGTACAGAAGACTGTGATGCTTGAACTATGATTGTGGCAACAAGAACAGAAAAAAACCAGTTCAAGTCTTTGTGAGAAACTGAATTGGAAAAAATGAGTCAAATTTAGGAAAAAATGTGTGAATGGCATCCTGCTAAGAGAAAGTTCAGCTGGAACAGACACTGTGTGTGTGTGTGTGTGTGTGTGTGTGTGTGTGTGTGTGGGTGTGTGTGAGTGTGAGTGTGTAAATGATGTAACAAATAAGCTGATAATAAATAAGATATCAAGTAAGCTTAATAAACAATGCTTAACATTGCTAGCTATTAGATAAATGTAAATTGAAACTACAATGAATACTGATACACATCAGTTGAATGAGAAATACAAACAAAACCAAATGACTACACAATCTACTGCAAAGATGCAGAGCAAGTCAAACTCACACATAGCTGGTAAGCACTCAAAATTACAAGCTTGTTGTGGAAAACAATTTACAGTTTGTCAGTTTCTTATAATCATAAGCATATATTTACAGTACTATCCAGCAAGCCTACTCCTAAGTACTTGCCTAAATGAAGCCAATAGTTACACAAGAAATCTGTATGTAAGTGTTGGTAATAGTTGTTGTAAATTTTCCTCTTAACACTGCTTTTGCACATACCAGAGTCATTCTCCCAGAGTGAACAGCCCAGTGTTCCTTAGCTGAGGAAAGAGACAAACAAACTGGCATAGTCATACAATAGAATACCATTCAGCAATAAAAACGAATGAATGGTTGATACATACAAGAAGATTCGGAAATCTCAAATGCATTATGCTTAATTAAAGAAGCTGAATCACAAAGATTACATCATGTCTTATTTACCTTACATTTGAGAAAAAACAAAACTGTAAAGTGAGGAATAGATCAATAGTTGCCTAAGATTAAAGATGGGCTCAGAGTTTCACTTCACTTGTCTGATTGCTCTGGCTAGAACGTCCAGTACTATGTTAAATAGGAGTGGGAAACTAGGCATCCTTATCTTTAATCCAGTTCTCATTCTAACTTTTGTATGATGTTGGCTGTGGGTTTGTCATAGATGGAGCTTATTATTTTGAGCTACGTTCTTTTGATGCTTAGTTGATTGAAAGTTTTTTGTTATGAAGGGATACCAGATTTTATCAAATGCTTTTTTTCTGCATCTATTGAAATAATTATGTGGTCCTTGTTTTTAATCCTGTATATGTGCTGGATCACATTTTTTGATATGCATGCATTAAACCAAACTTACATCCAAGGAATAAAGCCCACTTGATCATGGTAACTGATTTTTTTTTTTTTTTTTTTTTGAGTTGGAGTCTCACTCTGTCGCCCAGACTGGAGTGCAGTGGCTGCTCCTGGCCACCGCAACCTCGACCTGCTGGGCTCCGGAGATCCTTCCTCCTCAGCCTTCCAAGTAACCGGAATTACAGGCGTGTGCTACCACGCCTGGTTGATTTTTTGGTTTATTGTAGAGATGAAGTCTCACTGCCCAGGCGGGTCTCGAACCCTGGGGCTCAGGCAATCCACTCACTTCAGCCTCCCAAAGGCGCGGGATTACAGGCTGAGCCACCGAGCCCTGGCTGTAAGCGATATTTTGATGTACTGTTGGTGCTGTTTGCTAGCATTTGTTGAAAACTTTTGTGTCTATGTTCATCGGAGAAATCAACCTGTAGTTTTCTTTTTTTGTTATGTCTTTACCAAGTTTTGGTGCCAGAATAATATTGGTTTTGTAGAATGAGTTACAGAGAAACCTTCTCTCCTTGATTTTTTTTTAAAGTGGTTTTAACAGGATGTGTGCTTTGTATGTCTTTCTTATATGTCTGGTAGAATTTGGCATAAATCCATCTACTCCAGGGCATTTTTTGATTGATAGGTTTTTTATTACTGATTCAATTTTGTGATTTATTATTCATCTATTTAGGATTTCAATTTCTTCCTGATTTGCTCTTGGGAGGTTGTAGTTTCCAGGAATTTACCAATTTCCTCTAGATTTTCTAATTATGCTTATAGAAATGCCTATAGTCTCTGAGAATCTATTGTATTTCTGTAGACTCAGTTGTAATGTTACCTTTAAATATGATGCTAGGTTGTTTATTTGAGATCCTTCTATCTTCTTGGTGTAGGTGTTGAGATCTTTCTCTCTTCTTGATGTAGGTGTTCAGTGTTGTAAATTTTCCTCTTAACACTGCTTTTGCACATACCAGACATTTTGTATGTTGTACCACTATTTTCATTTATTTCCATCTTTTTTTCAATTTCTGTCATGATTTCACTTCAAATGGATAATAAGAGGGAATTTTGGGGGTAATGAAATTGTTCTGTATTTGGGTTGTGGGTTATAATTATGTGGTTACATGACTATGCATTGCTAAAACTCATAGAGCTACATAAAAAAGAAATGAATTTTACTGTATGTGAATTAAAAAATAAAAATGAAAATAAGAAACTTGAGGCTTAGAGTAAGGCCTAGTTCAAGGTCATTTAGTACTTCATTATTGCAACTGGAACTTCAACTCTAAAATTCTGTTGGTTCTTTGTGAACTTCAGGAATCCTATATAACTCAGTTTGGTTCCCATCAGGTCCTCAACACGTTCCCTGTAAGGTATCAAACTGATTAACTGTTTGGGTTATCTTATAGTTCCTAAAAGATGACTCGATAACAAAGAATGCCATTAAAATGGTACATAACCAGCATGTCTGTGAAAATCTAATAAGCACTTATGAATTGTATACTTTAGTATGTTACATTTTGAAGAAAATTGGACATTTGACAGTACCACTTATTTTGGGTGACAGATAATAAAACTAGTTTCAGATATATGAAGAATGAGGGCCTGACAACATATCTTGTTATATGCTTAGCAGGCAATAGGGAATGTGGAAGTTTAGATTAATAATAGAATCAGTAATGTAATTTTTAGGTTTCATTCCTACATACCTTAAGGTAAGAATGTGGGTGGAATTGCTGAGACATAGCACGCACAGCATTGATTCTTAAAACCTACTCCAGGTTCTTAACCTCAGATTTGCATAACCCCTGTTGATTTAAAGAGTGTATTTTGGGTGTTCTTGGACCCCTTTAAAATAGGTAAAATTTTGTGGGCATTTGAGTGTATACATTTTTCTGGATTTCTACTGAGAAAGCTCCTCTTGTAGATGGGAGGCTCATTTTATATATTATAGAAGTTGAAAATAAATCCAGGAAATTCTGTACGTTTAGAGGACATTTGGAAAAGTAGGGGCAAAGGAGGTTAAGTGAAGTAGTAAGGAGAGCAAGATGTGTAATATTAATGACTTCCTTGACTCTTGTCAAGTAAAAGTCAAATTTCAGGGGGTGGGGATGAATAATTTGAATCATTTGTTACAGCAATCAAGAAAATTAAAAGACTAAGAAAATATTTTCAGATTTGGCAATTAGGCATTCACTTTGAACCTATAGGAGGACAGATACAGGAATTATTTAAGAAAAAAATATATTGCATGCAGTTCTAGGATAAGAGCAAAGGAGAAAATAGATGTAGTTTGGGTAGTCCACAACATATTTACCAGCTAAAGGCAAGTAAATAAAACATACCTTGGGAAATGTTAGGATTTAAGAAATATTCTTGGCCATTGTTTTGTTAAACTCTGCTGTCTCTATGTGGCTCTTGGAGCTATAGCCACCATGTTTTCTTAGCTTTGGTCCCCTCCCCTACCCTGGGGAGGTGAATCTCCTGTCTCTCTCCTTTTCTCTCTCTTATTTACTTTCTAAATAAACTGCTTGAAAACTTTTTAAAAATTCTTAAATTTAGAGAATGTGATATGTAATTGTTTATAGGTAGAAGAAAAATGTGGAAGAGATAAAGA